CCAGATCCTGAACACCTCCGACTTGGCAGAAACAACGCCAGCAATGAATTTTCGACCATGATCACTTGGCTATCGCCGATCTGGTACGACAGGAAAAGGAAAAAATATAGTTTAAAAAAAAAAACTCGCTTTTATAATGAATCGAACTAAAAAGTAAAGAATAATTCTTAAAAAGAATAAAATGATTTATACGAGAAAATTAATGTCATTAGGGTAAAAGCGTGTGGGGTGCTTTGTATTACATTTTTACACACTAGCTCTGTATTTCGGAATAGAACTCGGTAAGAAATTACAACAACCGATATCGAGCACCCCACGCTTTTACCACAGTCACCTTTTCTCGTTAATCATTTTGTTCTTATCTTAAGAATTAGTCTTTACTCTTTAGTTCGATTAGCTAAAGAAGCGTGTTCTTTAGTATTTTTAAACTATAATTAATTTTTCTAGTTCGATCTACTAAAAAAACGTGTTTTGTTAGTTTCTTAAAACAACATTTATTCACTGATTAATTAATCTTAATTGCGTCATTTTCTTAGAATCGGGAATACCCATTATAGCGTTTTCACTTTAGGGTTGTACCTTAATCTTTTAGTCGCCAAAAATGGAAATGAGATCTGGAATTAGTCGCCAAATCTGGACACGGGAAATCGTTAATCCTGTTCAGGACAATTGAACAAAATTATTAAAATATTGTATTGTCATCGGTCCTTGACAAGTGTGCAAAATTTCGAATTAATTTGACCTTTTAAAGTGGCTAAAAATCGAGTTCAAAGATTCCGTTACATACAAGTGAAGCTTATAACAGCGTGTTAAAAAAGAAACTATAAGGCACCACTCCACTAACTTAACTTCCATTCCATTGAAGACTTGTTGGAAGGCAGATTCGAATCCCCCAAAGAGAATTTAGAAAAATGTAAGCAGTATGTATCCGTAATTATAGTGAAAAGGAAAAAAAAAAGATTCCTGCAAACTTTTTTAACTTGTATCTTAAAAATCCCTCTTGCGTGTTGTAGATGAAATCTTTAGTATTATTCACCTTCATTAATATACAGTCAGTCACAAAAGTCTACATACACCCCCCAATACACACAGATCTAGCACGATACTTATATTTTCGAATATACAACTTTTGCCACCAGAGCTCAGAAAAGATTTCGGTCACGAGTTAGTGACCATGACTACGTAAGGCATTATTTCTGCGAATAAGTAAAATTTCAATAACAGTTACGGCGCTTTTATGGATGAATAAAAATGTGGTACCTACGTATGAATCTGATTAGGATTTATTGGCGAAGATTAATGGCATGACAGAGAGAGTTAACGTCGCACTAACAAGCTGCGCGAGAGCTATTGGTGATGGACTTCGTCGTTTTGAAACATGGCCAAGTAACGAGGAAGGCACCCGAGCTGGCACTCCTCTCTCCTAACATTCACACTACCCAAACGGGAAGATGTTTGAGCTTCGACAGGTTTAATGCACACCGGCGCTCTCTATACGGCAATCGGAACTAGTTTGATATCACGGGGCACGCGCCAATTTGTTCTTTATGTTCGCCAAGATGGGCGATAACATTACAATATGGTTACCTTGATACTTTTGCAGTTTTTGGAATTTTGCAAGTTTCCAGTACTTTTTAATTGATATTCGTTATAGATGTTAATATATTGTTACGAATTTTGTGTAAATAGTGTATATAATTTGTATTTTGTTGTTTAATGCATTTATATTACTCTATGTTATGTTTATTTCATGTTAAAAGTGTACCATTCACACAAGCAATGTCGCCCCTTACGTTATAATGGTGATTCAATGAGAACTTGGCGAAATCTTGGCGGTAGAGCCAAGTTGGCATCATTTTTGGCGACGAAGTTGGCGGTCAATTTGGCGTCATTGGTGACCATGTTGGCGAGTTCGGAAACCTCTGGAATCTTCTAGAAAGTAGTGGATCTCTCCATTAGTGTCACGTTCAATGACACGAGCGTTTATATTTCTGGAAGTTTCTGCCGCGCCAATAAAGCGGAGTGCCAGCCGCAACCGATCAGTCTTGATTAAACCAGCGAGTAGTGAGGATTGTTTTGATTAGCGATTAGCTCGGCTGTGCTTGTGAATAATCTTTACTTACGTGTATTTTTAACACTGATTATTGTGTTTGATTGCTGTTGAAGGTGTGAAGACATTCGGATATTTACCCTGCGAATATTGCCGCTGAATCCTGTATTTAAAGGATTGGATTTTTGATAATAAATTCGCATCGCTCTTGAAGAACTGTTTATTTTCTTTGTGATTGTTTTTGCATAAAATCCTAGGATACCGGATCTACGCAACAATATATTATGTATAATTATTTTATAATTGCATTTTTATATATTAATATCTAATAATCATAATATTCGTTATTTATAATGTTTATTTTATTATATTTATTTATAAATATTATTGCATATTATGTTATTTATTTATTATTATATTTATTTATAATTACCTTATATGTGTATTCTTGTAATTTTTATATTACAATACGATAATTTCCTTTCTTTTTATAATTACTATTAAATTATATTATATGATTATATATAATTATTAAATCAAACTATATGAATATTATGCATTTATACATAATTACTATTAAATTATATAAGATTATTATTATATACTACATATTATTAGTATATTAACTTTTTATTATATTATTTATTGATCTCTGTTATTCTCAATCTCTACCTATATTCTTCTTTTGAAATGTACTTCAATGTATTTCAAAAAAAATTTTTTTAGATTATTTTTCTGACGTTTTGATACCGCTAGAGCGCAATCTTGGATTCCATTTCAGCGACAACAAGTGCTGTTTGGCGTGATTCCTTTATCGCGCCAAGCAGCGCTTGGCGTCATGCCCCGTGATATTAAACTAGTACTTTAGGCTCAAACTCATGGAATGCCTGGCATGTGTCTGAACACTAGGCTAATTGCATGCCAGAGATAAAGCATAAAATATTTAAGGAATTATGTCAACTTATTTGATACTATTCTAAGGATAATTGCAAAAATTTCATGAAAATCGCCAAAAGGTCGCCAATAGTATGTTAATACGAAATTTTTTCTTATTAAAATTAATATTTGGTATTTATGAACTATAATAACACATTTTAAATAACATACGGTACATTAAAAAGCTCCCGTTTCTTCAAGTAATTGCAATTAAAAATAACGCGCAAAACGTAGCAAATTTATTTACAAAAGGATTTTCAACTTATATTACGAAAACATTAAAATCATTGAATGCAATTTTTCTAGTATTGTGAAAATACAGACTAAAATCATTAAAAACAATTTCCGTTTTGTTTTAATTAATAAACATTTCTCGAATCGCATTTATTCATGAGAAAACTAAAAATTTGTCTTGGAATCGTTGAAGGAATTGGCAAGAAATAAAATCGCATTAATATGGTTTGAAGCAGAAACACATGTCAATTACCAATTCTATTTTAGATGACCCCACAAGTGGGGGAAATTCTCCTGTCTATGCAACTTCACTTTTTTTCTTTTCTTCTGAAATTAGGTGTTGCTTTATCTCACTAAGCTCAAATATCGAATTAGACACACTCAGATACGTTACAGAACTTGAACTAACAAAAACTGTACAAAACTTAATACTTAGCATCAGCATTGAACGAGATCGCAACATTTTAAAATTCATTAGTGGTGCAATAATGCAATAGCTCCTTATTCATTATCTGAGTTTTCGACCCACTCAACAAGGAAAATCCTTGCCATGGACCTTTTTTAAATGTATTAACACACCATGTAACATATACTCGGAGTTTGTGAAATTTCTGGTAATCGGATTTTATGTGATTTTACAACATATTTTTGAAGTGAAATGGATGCATTTCAATAGCAGAAGGAATACTAAAGCGCTTAAGAAATATCACATTTACATAAAATCCTTCCAATTTTTTTTAATAGAATTTGTGAGCAATGTTAGTATCCTTATTATTTTGTACATAAATGCTTTGTGTTTCAAAACTTTTGTGAAAATGTTAGATTAAAATTAAGCTGAATAAACTGTCGTCTTAATAAAGTTAATAATAAAAGCTATGCAAAAATATTTTGAATTAAAAATATTATTTTCTGGGTCAAATTTAATTGGGTGTGGGCCAGTAGTTTTAAATGCAGGTTACTAAGCATTGGAAAATAACATATTAGAAAAGAGCTTTACGGCTATTATAAGTTTTTGTTTTATGACTTTACAAACATTAAATGCGTTCTCTGACTTTGAAGGTATAAATGTCTTCTAATCCCTAAGGCTTTTTTTCTTTTTCAAGATAGAGCCTTGAAATTTTTTGTATATTCTCCCCAACGAATGTTCTATAAAAGTTAGTATGGATGTAGGGCTATGATCTCTAGTTTTATTTTTCTACAAACCCCAGTACTACTAAAGACCCACCGTGTAGGGTAGCGATGCACGTCCTCCCGTTGGTGTGGTATGATAGTTAGGAGAGGGGGTGCCAGCTCAAGTGTCGTCCACGTCAGAGTGCGACGTTAATATTCACTCACTTGGAATGCAATAAATGGACCTTGACAGTGTTTGATGAAGGATTTAGTACTTTGAATTAGAGAAGTTTTTGAAGAAAATTTCTTTTGGGGCGCGCATAGAAATAGGGGGATGAGGGTGAATTTTTACGATGCGCGTGCACACCGTCACGGATGCGAAAATGCTTTGTCTAGAAATATACAGAACGTTATAGATCATTGCCACCTTCGAAATTCTCAGAAAAATATATTTCTCTTCACTTCCCTGAAAAGGGGGACACCTGGGTTTGAACTGAGGAAACCTCTCAATATGCAGTCGAATACTTTACCGCGGAGCTATACACCCGCGTCAGCGAACCTTTGCTTTGCGTTCCGTAAGAACGGATACAAAAATGCTTTGTATACAGAACGGGACAGATCATTCCCGCCTTCAAAATTCTCAAATATATATATTTTCTGTTCACTTCCCTGAAGAGGACACCCGAGGTTGAACCGCGCGCGGGGACCTCTCAATTAGTAGTCGAGTGCTCTTACCACTGAGTTTTCTCTCCGTGTTATTTTTGCAAATTTACCAATTTAAATGTCTTTTTGATAGCTGGTATAGATCTACTTACTGTAAGCGTTTTAAATTTCTGACTGAAGTGAAGTATGGTGTTCAAATCTTAAGAAATCCATATTATTTAAATTAAAATTTAATTAATACATAAAATAACTGAGCAACAAACAAGTGCTTTTGAAGGCAGGAATAAATCTGGAGCTTCAATAACAATTTTTCAACATTTGGAATCAATCGTGTCAGGTTTAACACTAGATCTTCTCGGTTAGTAGTATCTAGACCTAATTCCCCCCCTTTATTTATTTTTTATTTTGGAGATTGGCAACCACACTGTAACTCTTTCTCGCTTGAAAAAGTATATTTGAAAATTTTCTCACGATATTCCATAATTCGTGATAAATAACAGGAGTGTCTCTTTAAAGCCATTGTGGCCATTGTCCTACTTTTAATATAATTTATACTGTCACCGTTTAACTGCAAATTTACTTTATTAAAATTAGTAACTAAATCTATCAAATAGATAAAATCTGGTTTACATTCGACTAAATTTTCCTTTAAAATGAAAATCATGATTTGGTTTAATGAGAGCCACCATCTTAGACCCCTATTTACTTTATGGACCCCCAAATTATTTTTTTTGCTGACGTGAACCCTTTGCAGGTATAGACCACTTTGGGAATCACTGGTGTATAGTCTTGTGATAAAAATACAGCAGCATTAAATAGGCTAAAATATGTTAAGGCTGTCTTCGATAAAAGTACGAGAGCTTGAACTAAATGCGAAGCACATTTTCAGACAGAAAAAAGGCCTCAATTTCTATGGAAATTTGCAATATTATAACTCGCATGTCTGTTAACAATATATTGTTTTTAAAAATACCAAGATATTCCACTAATACTTTCTTTTTTGTTATAATACGTGATATATGTTTGTTGTTATAAAACGTGATATATGTTTGTTGTTAAAATACTATACCCATTTAACATTGCGGTACAGGAGAAAAAACTCGAAACACATTTTATACCAGGAACAATGAATAAACCCGGTTAAAAACGAGAAATATGATAAAAAAGACTCTGCTCTCTAAGGGATAGTGAAGCCAGAATATCATATTAATGTTTCATTTCTTTTATATCTGAAAAAATGTTCCAAATTCAGGTCTTTTTCTTTAACATTAACCGAAGGCAGTCTTAAGGGGTTAAAAGCTAGTTTGAGAAGAATACTATAGTTTATAAAGAGATTTTCACTGAAGTACGCGAACAGATAAATCAAGTATATATATAATGTAGAACAAAAATAAATAAATAATATTTTAATTAATATTATTTTTATTAAATGTTAAAATGTTCCATGTGACAAGCAAAATTTATGTAACAGAGTATAGTTACTTAATGTTTTTTTTTTATCCTTTTTTAGATTTGACTTGAAAGAATTCAAGAAATGCCTTGGTAGCCATAGTTAAAATCTTTCTTCGAGTGAAGAGAAAAAGAACATCTTTCTTTTGCTTGGATTTGTGTAAAGATTCCATTTCATAACTACTTTGGTAAGAGAGAGTTTTTGAATTTAATTTTATCACAAAATATATACCAGCAAATTTAAAGTAAAACCTGTATCTATAGCTTTAACAGCACAAATTTTATGTTAGAAATTAATATATTCGTGTTTTATATTTTTGAATAAGTATGAGCGAATTACAAATGTAATGTTCATGGTTTAAAAGGACGAAGCATGTATTTGCAGAGAGTGAGTGAGTGTAGATTAACGTCACACTGTTCAGCTACACGAAGGCTTTTGGCGACGGACCTCGTCATTTTGAACCATGGTCAAGGGACGAGGACGACACCTGAGCTGGTCCCCCCCCCTCCTAACTACCTCACCAACGGGAGGACATTTGAGCTCCGGACAGATTTAAAGTGCATTGCTTCCCTACGCTGTGGATCTTCAGAGGTACTGGGATCAAACTCATGACATGCCATCTATGATCCGATACCTTGACCACTTGGCTACCGTGGCCATATGTGCGGAGAAGGGAGGTTGTGGCATCATTTTTTACCGAAGCAACACGATGGCTTCTGGCAATGGATCTCGTGATTTTGACTTGGGTTAAGTGACACCTGAGCTTATTATTCTTTCTCGAAATTCTGAATTATGCTATGACCACGATAGCCAAGTGGGGTGCTAGTTTGATATCACGGGGCATGACGCCAAGAGCTGCTTGGCGCGATAAAGGAATCACGCCAAGCAGCGCGTGTTGTCGCCGGAGTGGAATCCAAGATCACGGCCTAGCGGAATCAAATCGTCACAGTAAGATACATTTAAAAAATTGTATTGAAATATATTTCAAAAGAAGAATATAAGAAGAGATTCAGAATAATCAAGATCAATAAATAAATAATGAATAACAATATAATGTAATAAAAAGTTACAAGTACTAACAAAAAAATATATTATGCAGTATATAATAATCTTATAATATAATTTAATAGTAATTATATAAAAGAATAAAATCATCGTATTGTGTGTGTGTGTAATATAAAAATTATTCATAAGAATACGCATGTAACGTAATAATTATAAATAAAGAATATAATAATTATAAATATAATAAAAAAATTATATTATAAATAACGAATATTATACGATTATTAGATATATAATAATAATTGCATTATTATATATTATATTATTAATAAAATAATTACATAATATATATTAACATTAATAAAGAATACCAATTAAAAAGTACTGGAAGCTTGCAATATTCCAAAAACTGCAAAAATATCAAGGTGACCATATTGTAATGTTATCGTCCATTTTGGCGAACATAAACAACAATTTGGCGCGTGCTCTGTGATATCAAACTAGTTCCGCCAAGTGGTTATGATCATATACGGCGTTGTTGAGTCCCGAGTTTGAAACTAAGTACCACTAAAGACCCTTCGTGTAGAGATGCTGATGCACATAAACCTATCGAAGCTCAAAGTTCTCCCGTTGGCGTAGTGCTGAACTTTGGAGAGGGATGTTCCAGCATATGAGTGTGTCGTCTTCTTTATTTAACTGAGGCTCAAAATTAGGTGGTTCATCGCCAATAGCTCTCGTGTTGTTGTAGAGTGCAATGTTAATGAGCAGTCATTGTAAAAGAATTACAAACTCCGGGAAAACAACCAGAGCTGCATACAGCCCTTTGCTCCTCTTAAGGTGGCCCTGGCAGCAGAGTGGTCAAGGTATCGGATGGTGACTAGCTTGTCACGAGTTCGAGCCTAGTACCACTAAAGACCCGCCGTGTAGGGAAGTGAATCAAGTAAATTTATCGAGAGCTCTAACGTTGATGTAGTGTGGTAGTTAGGAGATGGGGTGCCAGCTCAGGTGTCGCCCTCGTCACTTGACCATGGTTCAAAATTACGAGGGCCGTCGCCAAAAGAACAGTGTGACATTAACATTCACTCGCTTCTCTTAAGGCGCAACTCATATTCTATTCTATCCAATTAGTTATACTCCCTTACTACTGTTCCACTGTAGTCTCGCCCTACAGAAGATCAGTTGGTTTTTTCTTTGCGTGTTTTATACGCATTTTAATATTTTCAATAGCAAATTAATTTTTTTGCAACTTTAACATAATTATTTATATTTATTATACTAATTATATATGTGTGTGATGATGTTATGTTAATTATGATATAACTGGGTACCTTTTGATTTTGTGATGTGTACCTCAAACCACGCGAAAGCTTTACAGTTACACTAACAATTTATGACGTTGAACTTAACATATTTAATTAATTCCCTTCATGTTGCCCCCCTCTTTACGTTCCGATAAAGAAGTCAACTAAAACACAACAAAGTACAATGAGAAGTGTGGAAACGACTGACTACCGTAGAAAAGTTATGTGATTCTATCCCCAGTGCCGCTGTTTTTCACAAAGCCACGCGTAGTTATGTAGTATAATACAGCGCTTCTCAAATTTTCAATACAATTTCTGCCCCCCTCTATACAAATAACAATGTATTGAATTCAATAATACTATACTTTAACACTAAAACTACAATACGATTTTTGTACAGGCGTATATAAACTTCTCGTTCAGCCAAAGCGTTAATTTCCCCGGACGTATATATGTCTTTACGAAAGTACGATCTTTTCTGTATCCTACTATCCATAAAATTATTCCGAAGGCTTTGGAAGGCAATAAAAGGACCTTGACACTGTTTGCGAAGGGTTTACTTATTTCAGAGGATCTTTCTTTATTAATACCTTTTCTTCTCCCGCCCCCATACATCACATACGGTCGCCTGTGAGGTAAAATGGTGGCATTAGGGAGTGAATCGCATAATATTTATTCGGCAGTCAAGGAATTAATTATAAACTGTACAAATTATCAAGATAAGTGTTAATTTTTGTATAAAATTTTACATGACAAGCCCAGGGGTCACTGGTAATTATTAAATTTGTTGTTAACTTAGTATTGTTAAATTAATTGTAAAATACATTGTGCAGTACTTACACATTTATAAGTGTATTTTTCAGTGCAAATATTAATTTTATTTTTTATTATGTTCAGAATGTATATTTTGTTTGTTTACTTTCATTAAATTAATAATTTTTTAAAAATCTTTTGTTTTCGATTTTTCAATATGCTGGCGCGCCCCTGTTAGAGTTATCACGCCCCCTTAAGAGGACGCGCCCCACAGTTTGAGAAACGCTGATGTAATAGAAGAATAGAAAAATCATGAACAGGTAATCCCTTCGCACTGTCAAGGACATTTTATATTGTATTCCAAACTCTTGGGAATATAATTTTCGTGGTGGTAGAACAATGCAAAGGTTTATACTTCGGAAAGGTGTTTATATATGCCACGGGCAGCTAATGAACCAGCTGAGCAAGGTGTATATATACGACCACGGTAGTTAAGGGGTGGCCACACTAGCCTAGTTGTTACGGTCAGGAACTCGTTACTGCAGAGTATCTCTCTGAAGATCTGCTGTGCAGAGGGGCC